TCGGCCCTGCCGGTGCCCCTTTTCATCGACCTCGCATTGCGAATAGTTAAGATCAGATACTTTTAGGAATGCGCTTGACATACGATTCGGAAACCGTTTCTCGGGAACCGAATCGTGCGATCTGCGAATCAGCGAAATAGGCGTCAGCACTCAACGCCAGCACATCCGCTGAACTTGGGACCCCTCCGGATTTCAACGGATGCCGAAGCGAAGGTTCTCGAACGCGGCTCGTGCCATGCGAGGATCAGCTAATATATAAACCCGTGGACACGCCCCACGGCGCTCTTTTTTTGTTCCGCTGTCAGTACGTTCTCATCGTGGTGATTACCGAAATCTTGTGGTCGCGGACAGGTTAACTTCACGCGTTGTCGTTACCTACGAAAGTCCGACGTATAATCGGTTAAGATCACATCGAACCTTTATCGTCAATCGAACACGCACTCAGCGTCGCACTTTGGTCGTCAAATACTAAATTATTGTAGTCACGGATAGAGTCATCGTACGCGCGCCGCGTCGTTACCGAGGAAAGTCCGTTGTTAATTAGTAGAGACCCGTGTCGCGAGTGATAGTTGCCGACAAACAGATCCTTGCAACAGCACAGCCCTGGGACCACAACAGATAGCTGGTACAACCAAACTGTAAGACCGACAAGCGGTAACGTACCTGACTAATTGTATACTTGATTTCCCAAAACCGATATTGTAATATAAACTCGTTATTTTGTAACAATACATATTTATTTATATATTTAAATGCTAAACCTTGAAAACAATCATTGCAATCCCGAATTGCTCTTTCCCGTTAGCGAATACAGTTAAGGTGAGCTTTAGCTCTTTAATTGAAGACGAAGATCCCAAGAAAGAGTCACAGATAAGCTGGGACGTAACACTGTCGATCCCGAAAAATGCCCTGAAGCCACCCAAACGAAGTTGAATTAAAATTTGTATGAAATACATTTCGTACCGAATATAGTTTTATGAAAATAAGACGAAATTCGACCGAGTGAATCCGCTTGAAAGAAAAAGTTTCATTTGTAAGACCATTACAATTAATGATATTTATATATTTATAAAGTATTCTATTAATTATTACAATATTTATCATAACTCAAAAACATTTCCAGCACCCTTATCAAGCAATGTAACTCACATTCGAAACAGAGATACAGGTTAAATAAAAATATGTAAATACGAGTGATATATGTATAAATACTAGTAGACAGTTGAGTTGCCAGAAATGACCCTGAATCTTCCCTATGTAGACCAGCTCGACCATACACAGGGGTTAGATGCGTCGATCGTCGTAACTGAATTCGTCCCTTGGATAGAACCGGAGACGTACTCGGAATACTTTGGCGGTTCTAAGAATTTTTAGAGGACGGCTCATGAATGCAAATTAAAACGTTTATCCGCTCCTATTGCGCGCCTCTTTCCCCGTTTCCGTTATTTGATTTCCCGTATAAACGGGATTCAAAAGTCGATAAGCCGCGCTGGCGAAGACTTAAATAATGAACGTCGCGGTAAACAGACCTCGTTGTTTAAATTCTCCTTATCTCAGGCGTGGGAGGGGTGGTCGGCAGTTTTTCGCCATGGCCCTTGTATTAGATGGCCGTTCAGACTCGCCGCGAAATGGGTCAACCCAAATTACCATGAATTATACCCCGCGGGGGGTTCTTTCGCGTTAAGTGAAAGAGAAGTGCGCGTTAATTTCGGTACGATTTTTCATATCGTCCAACCGGAGCTGCACAAACGTTGGAAGGTAAACTGAAATTAGCGAATCGTATTACCTTCGTCGGCAAAGCGACGCTGCGATTATTTAATTAGGCCGCTTTCGTCGTGCTTTGACGTTCCTTGCCATTTTATACAGCGGGAGCGAACACAGGCTCGTTAATTTGCCTCGTTCATGTATCGCGATTGAGCGAACCGCTCGACAGTGGGTACTGTGGACGCGCGAGAAAAGTGCTACAGGCCCCGCCCACTGGAACACGTGGCGACCATTTCGTTGATTAGTCAGGGATTCACGTAATATGCCAGTCGGACCATATTTGAATTTTTGCGGGAATATCTCTATAGGATTTTTGTTTCTCTATAGGACGAAAGATATCTTGCAATCAAACTAAAGGTTTCAACCCCAAAGTCCATCAATTTTCGCAATATTTTATCCAACTTATTATTCGAATTAAGTTACTGATATTATGTAACTGGACATTAATTACAAAGTGTCCAACTATAATAATTCTGGAAAGTCATATTTCAGTAAAGGAACGTTTCATTGAAGCAGCCATTCGTTACGAATCCCCTTTCGAAATGCGAAATTGCTTCGATATGAGAGGGCAACGTTATTATTCAAAGTGTCACGGACGATATCGCTCAAAAGGAGAAAAAGCGCGTGGAATCGGTTTAAACAGGAGCACATGAGTATACAAACAATATTTTCGATATGCTAATAATCCTGAGCACGATATCAAGATACATGTATGCTCGTAGTACTGTGATCCAAACACTCATGCAACATTCATAAGCCATCGTCCGTATCGCTTCACCTTTTCAGTTTCCATGCAGTAAATCCTTGTCATATCGTATCTCCTGGCTTTCAAGCATTAAAGAACCTCCTAGCGACCGTTTCTTTAAGAGTGCGATTTTTTTCGTGTCGATTTGCAAACATGTTCCTCCTCTGTCGGAGCTTGTCAATTCAGTAACAAAGAAGTAGAGAAGGTAAATTAAAAGAAATGTCGACCGATAATAATATATCTTTGTAACTCAGATTGTAAACTATAAAAAATTATACTTCTTAGCTTTCTTCAGAAATTAATATGTCCGCGCATAGTTGATTTATTTTTATAAAGCATTGAAAATTACTCGCAAGTATACTGAAAAAAAGATTGCTGTTAGTGGTTAATAAAAGTCCTGTCAAAAATAAAACAGAACTATCGTAATACCATACCTCCGTTAGTAGTTAAGAAAGCAAGTAGAAATAGCGAGTAATGGTCAGACGCGTCGTCTACATTGAATTCAAGAGCTCTAGTCCCCAACGAAATCTCGAAATCGATACTCTTCGAACCCAAGACTGGTACAAATATTTGTATCGCACATTTTTTATTTATTTTTCATGACGAATCACCCTTGGCCGTTACTACTCTATTTCGCGCAGCGCGGAGTGCATCGAGCATCGCTTTGAAATTTGAAACTCGGAATGCAGACTGCCGCGGAAGCTCTCTATGTTTGCATTATTAAATAAAGGCGAGTTCGAAACTTTACATTGGCTCGGGACACAATCGACTTTGTACATCCGCCTTTGAGTCATCTGCGTTTCACGCGTCACGTGACAACGAACCAATTACGCGAACACCCTAATGAACCAGGATAACAATGAATTTATACTCTTTGTATTAATTAACAGTGCATCAATTATTTCGCCTCTTCGAGATTGAGTGTTTTTCTTGAAGTAAGAGAAAATATTTTGTAGGGAATTATTTGGAAGTCGAATTGTAATTGTATTGTAAACATATCATAAATTGATAGTTTAAAAATAATTTTGAAATATTTCACTATTGACATTACTGCAGCAAAAAATAATATAGATACTCGAGGCAAAAGAAAATGTCAGTAGAAGAATCAATATTTTCGTTTGTTCGGTTTGAAAATTGGAAATGCAACTGATGGGGCCACGGTATTTGGCTATCGATAGGGCCATGTAAATTGCGGGTTTATTCGGATTAGGATTATCTCAGAATTCGTGGATGGACAGTCAATGGCTGCTTCTCCTGGTTACCGTAATTATCAGTGCTAGACCTGCAATCAGGGACTCCGTCAGGATTATGAATGCGATGATAGAAACTGGATTTGCTGGAATATATCGATGCTGGACGTCCGAAATACTCGGAGTTCTATTACGAAACTTGTTAGCTCTAGTGGTCTTACCCTGATCCGCCCTCGCACTCATCTGAAGCCAACAGTAATTACGCGGCATCATTGCCCAAAGCATTTACAGCGCATAAGTTCTCCAGGGCTACCCATTCGTTCGCCTATTACAGAATAGATTTCAACTTGATAGAAAATCCAAAAAAATATTGATATATTGGCGTGGTGAGACTCTCATTAAAATGTTATTCAATTGCTATCTAATTATGTGTTTGATCTATTAGAGTTGTGAGAGTGAGACTCATAGAATGTGCAGCATAGTTTCGAGAAGAACTTGATACCAATGCTATTTCTGTCCTGTTTCTCAGAGATCAGAGTACTACCCTTTAAATACTGTTCGACTGGCGACGAACGATCGGCGATTTCTGTATTGATAGTGGTACCTAGAAAGAATCGAGGGTCGCGTCGCCGAGGCTAGGACAGTTAGGAACAGTCGGTATGGCGACGAGCCAACCAGCAGAGGTGTTTCCAGAAAAACGCGGGAGAATACCAGGCCAGTGAATTCCTGTTCACAGGAGCCACTCCTCGGAATCTTAGATAACCTCAAACAAAATACTATTCGTCGCATACTTATCGAAAAATTACTGGTACCGTGGAATTTATCGTCGAGAAATGTTAAACAAGGCTACGTACTACAATTTTATTTTATTATTAACTTGTACTATTCTCCTTATGAAATTATGTATATAGAACAGCATTTACAAATATTAGTTTTCAATGTCTAAAAATAATTTCGAATATCTAGAATTCGTTGTGCTATTTAAAAATGAATTAATAGAAACGTTTCAAAATTATATGAATGTTCATATCCATTGAAACGTTTACAAATGATTTGAAATACAGCTGCGGGCAGTAGTGTTCAAAAAACCGAGAGAATCGAAACGATTTGTCTCTGTCTCAAAAAAAGCGTACATACCTACTAACGAGGGAAGCGTCTGCTGCAATTTAATTGGCGACGGTTTTTTTTGGCGTTCGACCGTTAATTAATTATCCTTGTAAAATCTTTTTCCTCTATTTGTCACATGTATTCGTCGCTTTATTGTCCCCATTCTAACAATTTTTTTTATCCTTTTTTTGCAGCGTCACTGTGCGACATGGTTTTCAATAGTGACTCGACGAAAACAGGAGTGGTCACGTCGCCAGGATATCCGAATCCTTATCCATCTAGGACGCACTGTACATACGACTTCCAGGGACGAGGCAACGAACGGGTCCAAGTGATATTTCAGGATTTGAATTTGTATCATGCATCGAACGGGGCGAACGAGTGAGTCGATTGTTTTTATTACGATTTATGGTCTTCCTTTTCCGCTATTCTCATTTCAACCACATTTTCACTGTTATTTTACGTATGTTATTTCGAACTGAACATCATTCTATTAAAGGTTTAACAGATCGAAGTATTAACATTTCAAATAATATATATAATATTAATAATGGTACGCAAAATGAGCAGTATAACATTGGAATTACTTTGAACACATAGTACCTATAAATAACAGTATTAAATATTATGTATGAAATTCTAATACTGCTCTAAATTAAAATTCTTAAACTCTACATCATTCACATTAAACAGCAATTAATTTCAATTAATTATTTCCTTTGTGAACGATAATTAAGACGATACCTCGCAAATCGTGCGAAATAAACAAAAACAGATCCTGGCAGAATAATTGTACGTGTTTTCGCCGTTATATCTTTCAACGCACAACAATAAATTCTGATTGAATGACTGAACGAACGCCACAGGCAGACCAGAAAATAAACTGGAAAAGGCAAAAGAGATAAACTTCTGTGTCAGGATTAAAGGTGACGATGAAATATACGTACGCGTATCGTGTATCAAATGAATGAAATCAAATCTACGGGAACTTTGAAAATGCATAAAATATCAACGAGAAATAATACGAACGGTTTATTTCGAATTTAAGGATTCGACGACCGTGGAGTATTGAAATATCTAATTTCTGTTGCATTTTAAGTTTAAAATTCAAATACTTAATTCCTCAAATTAAATCCTCGTTTTTGATGAATAATGAATAACCACTGAGTTGTTCATGGTTTAATCATTATAATATATAAAATAAGAAGGATACTCAAACCAATGGAGACGTTCGCAAATTCGATTACAGTCCATCTTAAAATTAAATTAAACGAACCATACAAAAGGATGCGCCACATGTCATGCTCGTTGGAACAAATTAAATTGAAGTTGACTCAAAAAAGCAATACCGACAGAAGAAGACAGCATACAAGCCGTGTTTAGTTTCTTGGTAATTAATTCTTGGCATGATATACACTGCACTCATCGCGCAGAGTAATACGGTAGTATTGCGGTAATTCTTCCGTCTGCCCCAGTTTCTAGTCGTGCCACTTCTTTAAACATCCTTTCCGAGCGTGAAAAGTTAAACAGTAATATCGTGACTCAGAATACCGTTCCTTCTTTAGTACTGCTGCGATACTGCAAGCGTAATTGACATAATTATGTTTTCTAACATTTTCACAGTACATTCATACAAGTAGAAACGTATAACTGAAACCACTTACGTTGAAACAAGTTGGCAGAATAACTGACAAATTTTGCAAAAGCTTAAATTTCAAAGCTGAAAGCTTCAAATTGCTATAATTATTAAGTAATCCACTAATTTTGCTGTGGAATAAACGTACCATTTTTAAAAAATTTTACTCAACAGTGAACACAACATTCTAGGTGTAGATTACCTTCGGGTAGAAGAAATCTATTTGTCGTCAGCCAGTACAACTCAATTGTTTAAGAGATCCAACAGCAAACCGAAAGATTCGAATTCCGATTGCAGCAGCGGTGGTCCCCGCGCGACGATTCTTCTTCCTCGGGTGCAAACGGTTGTTCTACGTGGGGGCGACGGGTGAAAAACCGTCGACGGCGTCTCTTGAACGTTAATTTAACGGCATTGCCCCAATAATGGCGGAAAGAACCGATGGTCGGCACGCGAGCGCGCGCGCGCGCCGTTTCCAAGCGTTCAGCGTCCAATCGAAAGGCAATGTAGAATTTGGCAAACGCTATCCTGAGTTCTGCTTGACGTACCTTCAAATACAATTTGGACGGAGTGCATCGAGTGGTGTGCCCGAATTCCGCTATTAGTGTGCCGATTGATCGACCAGTTCGTCCCGTTGTCCGACGACGAGGATCGGACGTTCCTGGAATTCTGCTTGTCCTTGTGAAAAGCACGGGAACGGACAGTTGGGATCGATTTCACATACTCTCACGTATGTGATGTTTCCAAAGGGTTTCACGTATGGTGACAATGACGCGCGTACAGCCGGATGGCTGCTTGTCACCTGAACACCCGACAGAGTCGCGACAAATGAAAGCAATCGAATCTGAGCGAAAAATAACGAAATTGGGAAAATACAAGCGATCTCAAATGATATTTGCCTGATTTTCCGATCGATTCGGATCATATTGTTTGCGAGATGAATGCCTTTCGGGGCGGTTTATCATTGTTCGGTCGCGAGTTTCGATTGCAACGGGGAATTGCAGTCGAAATGTAATTGCAGAGTGGAAACGGATAGCGCCCGACCTACTCGATTACGGATATTATCTAAATGCGTCGATTGTCCGTGATTATTTGTACGACGGGTCAAGAATAGATTTAAGAGACGAGTGACGTTGAGTACTGCTTGACAGGATTAGAAAAAATCCTGTACCGTAAGTAGAATTTAAAATAATGTTTCAGTAATAAGTGAAACAAATTGGAAGCATTAATCGATTTATGCAACGAATGGCTCAATTATTCAGACTGGAATAAAAGCAGCACACTGTCATTAAATTTAATCTTTTTTCATATTATAATACTGCATTTCATAATTCAAACCTTAATTTTTATTCGAAGAAACCCTCATAAATATATCATGTCGTTCTAAATTTGTATGCAGCTGGGAATTTTGCACATATCTCGTCAAAGATCGACGAATCGTTGAATGGTAGGAAGTAAGGGGTAGGATCGAAGTGAAACGTCTAAATGGTATTCCAGGAATCTGCCTATAACACAACGCTCCCCTGACATCAGCAATTGCGATCGGTCATCTCCTCGTTCATTTTCCACGTGCTTGGCCTTAAACGCCGTTTAATTGCCACGGGTACGTTTCATCGTGCGGTCACTCGAGTGTTGTTTCCCTGGTCGTGTAATTGTTCCTGGTGCGTTTCGGGCGAATCGAAATAATAGCGCGCAACAACGTCGTTTCCCGTGCAAACGACGCTGAAAATAACAACGCGAACTTTATCCAGCAACGTAATCGATCGTAGACGAGTGGAAAAAGATAGAAAAGAATCCCTTTAATAGCAACTTCGTTTATACAGTTACGTTACTGTTAATAATCGAGCCAGTCGTTACGGGAACTCGTTAATGCATTGCGTAATAGAGTATCGCGAAAATTATATCACAACTTACGGTTAATGTTTCTTATCAACTTGAGATATTTTTGTTGTCGGTCGTAATTTTCATGGTGTAACGAAGTTGTTAATTTTAATAACGTTTGCTGTACACGTGAAAAAAAAATGATTTGATAGAATTCATTTGAAATGGGTGTTTTGTGAAATTTTTATTTTATGAGAACGGGTTGAAAGCTCGTTTTGGTAAACAATTTTTGCATGGTTATAGCACTTAACGATTGAAGATTTATTAACAGTGAAAGGATTTTTGCAGCTATTCTTTTTATTGAACACCTTTTTATAGCGAAAGCTTTTAGATGTAATTATCGTTCGCATCGAATAGATCTTTGAAATAAAAATGAACTTTCATCTGAGAATCATGTGTTCAGATGTCAGTGAATTCAAGATTAATCTTGATAATTTTGTATGCTTGATTAATGAACCCAGTATGAGAAAGGAACGTACACCGTGTAAAGTGGCTTTATTTTCACTCATTTTTTAACGTACGCCTGGCGCCGCGAACGAACGCGTTTAATATCGTCTCGCGGTCGTACGTTTACGGTTATTTACTTCCATATTGAAATAATTTATTGTACGATGATAAACAGAAAGTATTCAATCCACCACGCGCTTTATCGCAACAAGTATTCAACGTAGAATATATACGCGTCATTGAAAATTACGGACGCTAACAAAGTCGTGCAAATCACATGAAAAATGTCATTTCAATGAGGGTTTATTGTACATGCCAAAGACTGATTGGGATTATAGTAGATATTAATAAATACAACTCGTTGAACATGTATCTTTGATGTCTGATTAAGAGTGTGACAAAAAAAAATGTGACAAATCCTGTAATTTATGCAGAGAAATTAAATAAGTTGTAAATTTCTTCGACATGAATGTATGAATTACATGATTACATTGACATTATTCAATCTACGAACTTGTCATTTTTATGTATAATATTATTTTCACACCTGCCTTGCGAGAATCAAAGCTTAATTTATTCGCACAGAAGGCAAATAATTCATATTTTTTTATTATCGTACTTGTCGTCGACAATTTCATCCCCTTTGTTTCACAAAAAATCGTCACTGATTTCAGTATGTTTGCTTTTAATTAAAAATGCTTTGATTACCTCCTGCAACCGATTCGCCTGTTCAATTAACACGCTTTGTACTCAGTTGCCATTGTGCTGAGGAATCAATTTCCCAAGCATTATAATTGGCCACTTAAAGATGACATTTCTAATTGATCAAGTCTTTCGCTTAAAAAGGATTTACGCAATGAAAGTCAACGAATACTGCACCACTATTATCCGTCCGCAATTGAAATGTAACAACAACGAATCGAGCACGAAACAATTAAAACACCTACCTTATGTGAACCAATTCTGATAGATCGCTCGGCAAGTAAAATTTTTCATTAGAAAAGTGTCTCAAGTACTTTCGGTTTACGTTGGTCGAATGTGCACACGGCGCGCATAACATACGTGCATTCAAATCCAGAGAGAGGGGATTTCAGTGAATAGAATGGGGAGAGAGGTCGCGACCAACATCTGATTTTCCTGGCCAGTTTCCTTCCAATCATCCGAATGGATTGGTCGAAATTTTCCTTGAACGTCACACACGCCCTAACATTCATGGTCCTCGGTGTGCATTCATTCCGATGCACACAGTCGTTCGTGCACGTCACGTTACACGAATGCGCACGCAATAATACTCTTTCTACGGCGTCATTCGATCGACAACTCCGCTCCACCGTGGGTCGAGAATTGTACATTCGCTTGTTAAAACTGGGCAGCCAAGTGTTGGGCTACGTTTGTCCAGATAGAACAATGTAAAGCTAAC